ACATCACTTGGAATTTTTAGAACGTTAAATGATATTTATTAAGTCAAGCACATTAAAAGATTTCCATTTCTGTGTAAGATAATGTCTCCAAGCTGTATAATCTACATCCAGAAACACATCCTACCCAAACTGAACCCAGTATTTCATGCCATCACCACCACCACCACCATTACCATGGCCATCACCATCATCAACATAACCATGACTGACCACCACATACCACTGTATTCCTTGCTAGTGGCTATCATATCCTTTTTTATTTAATAAAGTTATTTAAAATTACTATTTTACTAAATTATCATTTTGGCAGTTTGAGACCAAAATAGTTATTTTTCCTCCCCTTTATGTTTTAATGGGATCTAAAAAAAAAATACATGTAATCAAATCATGATTGATTAAGGCAAAACTATGCTTATAATCCCTAATCATATCCTCCAGGTACAGAACTCAGCAACTGTGGGAAAGAAATGTCCCTTAACTGCCAACCCATGAAAGTCCCCAAGTTTCAGAGGCCAGAGCAAGGAATGATGTTTTAGAAATGGCAGAGGAATAGTTCAGACTATTTTTTTAATGGTATTACCCACCAATTCACTAGAAGAGCTGAAAATATAACAGTAAATTCCTCAATAACTTTGATGAACAAACTCCTTTCTATGAAACCCAGTTAGCTTGAAAGCAAGTGGCTATGTATTTTAGATTTATGCAGCATCTTTTTCTGGAAGATACATTTTAGTCCTAAACACGTGTGGCCACCCTGTTTTCTGCTTCTTGATAAGCAAAGGAAACACAGTGTTCATGTGAAAGAGTAAATTGTTCCTCTGTATTTAAAGTCTCCTAGATTCTGGCTGCTGCTCTCAACTGAGATCTCCTAGACTTACCTTAAAAATAATAAAGAAGTCACAAGAAGAATGTGTCCAGTGTGGATGAGAAAATCGGATTCATGTATTTCCTTATGTCGGAAATTGTTTGACACAGTCTGGCTTTTTACACTCTAAAAATGCCTCTAGAACGTAAATATTCTTTATGGTAGCCAGGCTATAAACAAAAGTTGCAGATGGTAATAAAGATTTTTACCTAGATTTGGCTTCTCAAGAAAGACATTACAAATTACTCTTCTCACTCTGTACTCTTAGAAAAACTCTTGACCACTCTTAGCATCCAAAAAAATAGTAACATGGTAAAGTAATTTTAAAAATATCAACAGTGGATAAAGTAGTAAATATATATATGTATATATATATATATATATTCATATATATATCAACTGAAGTACGACTATCACTTACACAAACCTCACTTGACAAAATTACTATTTTGTCACCCTTCATGAGAAGCCTGACATCTTCTGACCATCTTCTCTGCTAGCTCACATTCTGGCCATTGGCAATTTCTGGTACCCATCTTTTATATCCTTCCATGTATAAGAAATCTAAAACTCTCACCCTGGATTTTGTCAAATTATAAATGTCATAGGGTAAATATAGGCACAAACAATCATAGCCCCGGATCCAAATTAACAGAGTGTGAGAAAGATTAGAATATGTGGCTATTATCTCGGGGGCTTTCTGCGAGACAGGCACAAGCCACACGGAGTAAGGACAAAGTAGAGAGTGGAGATGCTCGGCTTCATCCGAACATTCACTCGTTCCTCAGGCAAACGCGGCTGCTCAGACTATTCTTAGATCAGCACAAAGTAGCAGGTAATCAGAAACAATTTAAATGACTGGAAAACGGAAGAGCAGAGAGCAAGACGGCTAGAACATCATCTGAGTACAAGGGGAAAAATATTAGAAACTTGGAATATTAGCCACTCAAATCTCTTCCTAGAGCCTTTGGTTCAATGTCAAAAACTGGTTTGTAATGACCACCAGGACAAACTAGACATCCAAAACACACAGATATACAGTATCCAAATTACCAGGACACTGACTTTGATTTAAAAGGTTTGTGTTACTCATTTGCCAAGTTCTTTTTTTTTTTCTTTAAACATGGACAATATTCAGTCCTTAGAAATACTGAAGTCTGAAAAAAAAAACTTTAAACACCTAATTTGAATTGTTAAACACTTGGTTTAAAACAAGTGTTTCATCTTTAGCTTTATTCAACGCCTTTATTATTCAAAATCTCTTAAGTTGTTTGAACGCTAAAGAGGAAAACTCTCACCTCAAAATTCTTAGGTAAGACACATCTTGCAAAATCACAGCTTCCTGATTATGTCTTCGTAACAAGACATTAGGATAGGCCACAACTTTTTGCACTATATGCCCTGAGCACTTTTCCTTGTGCATTTTCTTCCCACAGATATGCGGCTACATATTGTGCGCCCCGTGTCTTAATGCTAAATAATGCAAACAGCACATGAAGTTTCTGACTACCATATGAGCGCAGACAACCTACCCAACATTGCCATACTGCAGAGGGAAAACTTAAGAATCAAACATTGTAACGCTTGGCCTACCTACCTAAAGACACCAGCTGACTACATAAAGAAAAAGTAAAATCAAGACAGTGTGATCAGCTTTTATTCCGTGTAGATAAAACCAGCCACTTGCCGGAACTTTTTGTTTCCTACTGAAGGCAACATGGTAGGACAGGATTTTCCAAACTTCTCTGACCCTAACTCACAGGAAGAAACACATTTCACATGCAATCAGAGTGCATAAGCATGTAAAATTCAAATGAATTTTCGGGGAGTGGGGAGCGGTAAAAAATCTTACACTTACTAACTACTCTGCCCTATTTCTTTTCTGTTTTATCCTTAAAAAAAAAAAATGTTCTGAACTCACTTCTTCTTCTTTGGGGCCATACAAAGCCCTTTGAAAATACAGCTTTCTACCCCAAAACTTTTGAGAACTACTTGACGAGAGCAAACATTTTGAAAAGAGCCAATTTGTGTGTGTGTGTGTGTGTGTGTGTGTGTTTTATAAATCAAGAGTTATTCCAACAGGAGAACTGAGAAGGAAAAATGTTGCAATAATATGTATTTACTTGAAATGTTTGTATACAAACCCTCTTCCTCCCTGAGTAATAAGAGGCAGAATTCAAACCAAAGAGTAAAGGAAGTTAATAAAAAAAATAAACCATAGACGAAAAAGGCAGACTAAAACTAAATTTCCATATGGAAATTCTGTGTGTGTGTGTGTTGCATTTACTTTTGAAAGTTCTTTGTCACCATGCATTTATTCTCAAAGTATCTCAGGACCATTTAATGCAAAAAGTTTAAGACAAGGGCATATCATGGTGCTATTGCTTAACACAGGGCGGATGAACAGTTCTGAATAAAATATGATCTTCTCTTTATTTGACCGTGCTCACTTTGTAATTATTAGCAAGGCAGTAAATAATCCGCCAAGGAGCAGTCTCATTAGTGCCCATTGAAATTCAGTGCCATTAATTTGCAATAAAAGAACTGAAAATTAAATGGGAAAAAAATAATTTGGGGGAGTCCACCATGAGGTGGTAGAACTCACATTCTACCAATGCCTGGCTCCACACCGGAGAGCTTCAAGACACTGTGTGAATTAGACTTAATCGCTATATTTTGTTCCCATGATTTAAAAAAAAATTTTTTTAAAGGTAGGCAGAAGAATTTTGTTCTCTCTCTTTACAGTTTAACCCTGAAATTCATTTGGATCTGCCGACTTCTAAAAGTTTTGTCCATTTTTTTTTTATCTTTCCAACAACAATTCTGCTTGGCTGTTAGCTCTTATACCAGGGTCCTCTAAAGAAGGTTTGTGCAGGGATGCCCCGAGGGCCTGCCTTCAGTGTCCAAACGGCCCCCTTCGCCCTGTGTCTTCTGCTATAAATATCCTGAGCAGGAAAACCGCCCCCCGCTTGCAGGGCACAGGCAGGTCAGGGCGAGGGCAGGAAGCAATAGCAGGTGCCAATGTACAGTTGGGAAGGATCTAATTCAGCACCCATGTGGCACCCTGAGGCCTTCAGCCAGCCCAACAGACAGTCAGTGTCTCCGCAGAGCCAGGCACGCAGGCATGGAAGAGACACAGGGCTCCATCGCCCTGGCCCTACCCCCTGCCCCCAACCAAGCCCTCCCCGCAGGGCCAAGAGGAAGACTCCGGGAAGAGGCCAACCGAACCCGGGCCACTGAAAATGCAGGTCCCAGTGAACTTCACCCCTGGGGTGATGAAGAGTTCCCTGTCTGTCTGTCTGTCTGTCTGTCTGTCTGGGAGCAGCAGCCACGCAGCTCCCGCCCGGCCCTGCGGGCCCTGCCCCGCGCAGTGAGCCCGGTGTGTAGCCCAGCTGTGTGGCCCGGCTGGCAGGAGGCGCTGGACGGCCCCCGGTGCCTGCTGCCTGCACGTGCCGCGTCGGAAGCTCACCAGCCGGCCAGGCCAGCAGGAGTCGGGCCGAGGCTCCGAGATCAGCAACTTCGCCGGGGCCCCATTCGCGCTCTGGGAAGCTTTTCTTCCTCCGATGATCGCGCCAGGTTCCACCCGGAGCCAGGAGGTGGAGGTGGGGGGCGGGGGGAGAGGGCGTAGGGACAGTGGGCAGGGGGCGGTGGCCGTGGGTGGGTGATCGATCGATCGAACGGTTTGGCTTCCCCCAAAGAACCCCCCTCGACCCCGCCCCGTCCCGCCGTAGAGTTCCCGTGCGCAGCTGTGGACGCGACGCGGGGTAAGCCGTCCACCAGCGCGGCCGGGCGGCACGGACGGCCCGGCCACGAGGCCGCCATCATCGATCTGTTCAACAGGCCCCTGGAGGGTGACCCCCAGACTCCCCCGGGGTGGGCTTTTCTTCCCCACGCCGCCACACTTGCCCACGCAGGTTGCCGGAGCCCGCCAGGTGCGCCGGGGCCGCGGTCGGGAGTGGAGGACGATCGGGTCCCCCCTCCCATGACCCCCGGGGTGGGAAGCGGGGGAGGGGGAGCTCCCACACCTCTGAGCCGTGAGACCTACCCCTGGCGGGCCCCCCCGCACCCCGCAGAGCCCGGCCCTCCCACACACACGCACCACCCCGCCCCGACGTGGCACACGCGCGCGCGGTACCTGTAGAAGGCGGGCGGGCCCGGCTCGCGCCCCGCGTAGCCGCTCGGCTCGTTGTCCAGGTAGTAGGGCATCTGCTGGCCGTGCGGGTGCAGGAAGGGCGAGAGCTGCGGCGGCGGGTGCAGCAGCATCAGGGGGCTGGGAGACACGCTGTTGAGCTGGGGGAAGCCCCCCAGGCCGTTGGCTCCGAACGCCGCCGCCGCGGCCGCCGCCGCCGCCTCGGACCCGGGGCCGTAGGTGAGGCTGGCCTGGCCGTAGACCGAAGGCGCGGAGGCGGCCGCGGCGTTGAACTCATACGCGGCGGCGGCGCCCTCCGGGTAGTTGAACACCGCGGGCTTGCCGCCGCCGTCCACGTAGGAGAGGTCGCCCAGGGGCCGCTCCAGGGACATCTTGAGCTGCGGGCGGTTGAGGGGCTCCAGCTCGCTGCCTTGGATCTGGTGCAGCAGGGCCATTCCCGAAGCTTTGGTGTGGAGGGTCATAGTCATGGTCCGTCGCCGCGGGGCCCCGTCGCACGCGCGCCCCGCCGCGCCTCTCCCCGCCCCGCGCGCAGGGCTCAGCAGCCCACGGGCCACCTGGAGAGAGAGAGAGAGCACAGCCGGGGAGGGGGGGTTAGAGGCGGTGCGATGATGTGTGTCCCCCCCCCCGTCTCCCCCCCGGGACTGGTCCCTGCCCCATGCGGGGGGGGGGGGGCGCAGGCTGATGGGGAGCCCTGTGGTTTGACCCCAGCGCGCAGCCCGAGGGGAAGCGGGGAGCACGCGCCCTGAGCTCAGCCAAGTCCCTGCCATGTCTGGGACTCCAACGGGAGGGACCCCCGTTCCCCAGCTGCTCATCGGCATCGACCCCCCTCCCCAACACTGACTTTAGGGTTTAAACATCCCTCCCTTCCCCCCACCCCGGCACCACCACCTTGGGTTGTTTGTACTATTGTATTATTTTATTATTTCGAGAAGATTCCCAAGGAACGACTTTTGCTCTACTTCACCGGTTCTCCTTATCACGCTTTGGGACAGAGGCTGAATTTCACCAGGCGATGGACAGCCCTGCCCTCCCCGTCCCCCCCAGAGGGGTCGGGGGGGTGGGAATAGGGAAGAGAGCGTTTCCTACAGGTGGTCTAGGGAAGCCTCAGTTTACCGAAGTGGAAGACTAAGCCAGAGGCTGGCTTTTGCGCATGTGCTGCCTGTTGTGGCTGTGTTTCTCTCTCCCCCCTCTTTCTGCTCTCCCCTCTCTCTTTCTCTCCCCCTCTCTCTTTCTCTCCCCCTCTCTCTTTCTCTCCCCCCTCTCTGTCTCTGTCTCTCTGTCTCTGTCTCTCTGTCTCTGTCTCTGTTTCTCTCTGTCTCTGTCTCTCTGTCTCTGTGTGTCTGTGTCTGTCTGTCTGTCTGTCTGTCTGTCTCTCTCTCTCTCTCTCTCTCTCTCTCTCTCCTCTGTTCCTTGGTTACAGATCGGTCCTGGGGACTTGGGATGGCCCTGGAGAGGACGGGTTTGCGGCTGCATCCGCAGCTGGCCACAGACAGCTATATATAATGGCCCAGGATCCGAGGGGAGGGGTGCGGGGTGGAGGTGTGGGGTAGGGGAGATGCCTAGGAAAAGCTGTTCAGGACAGTGCCGTCAGACTGGTTTCCTCATCTGTTGAAAAAATAAAACTGCTCCCAAGTAGCCCCTCTTCCAACCACAGCCTGCTGGGATTGTCTTAGTCCCGGCTTTTCTATTTAGGTTGGACCACAGTACCTTCCTTACTCCCTTTAGAAATTCTCATGTGAAGGATGATTCAGAAAAACCTCTGGTTAGGCACACAGGGGTGTTTGAGCGGTCTACAGGTTATGCAACCAGAACTCGAGAAAAGTGGATATAAAATGTGACCTTTCCCTACAAAAACAGAACCTCGGGTCTGCCGCCCAAGCTTTGGGCAGATTCTTTTCCACTCTCTGTCCACCCCGCAACTTTTAAAATATGCTTCTGTATTTCCAGATCTTTAATCCTACAGCTGAAACTTCCAACCTCATTTGGGTACTACAGGCAGCATTAAACATCCAAATGAAAGAAAAAAAAAAGAAAGAAAAGTTTTGAACTCAACTGAACTAAAAGCTACTCAGAGGTACACCAGCGCATCCACACACTTGCACCTATTAATAAGACAAAAGATTTGATAAGTTTATCATAATCCCTAATCTTGGCTAGATGATACTTTTCAAAAATAAACTTCCTTTGTCCCAGCATAATAGGCCCCTAATTGTCACCCCAGACACCTGAAAATGTACCTGACAAAATGTTCACAGAAGATATAAATGTCAAGGTTGTTACTAATGGAAACATTTTGAAAATATTTTATACTTAGTGCACATTTTATCAATTCTTAGAAAAACAGCATTTGGGGTAATAAGCCGATGAGCTGGTGAAATACACAGCCAAGATCAAGTTAAACATCATTAACTGTAGATCGGAGCAGCGAAAGAGTTAAAAACACATTAGGTGAATCGCGGATATTTCTCTTTACGGCCAGCCACCATTACTTTCCAGAGCAATTTGATTTTTACCGATGATTTAGTTTCTGTAAATCACACTTTCAATTTTTCAAATGCCTTTTGAAAAACACATGCAAAAGCACTTCCTGGGGCTCTTTAAAAATCTGAGCTTGCCAAATCCTATCGAAATGGCACAGAGAATCCTACAAGTGCTAGAAGAAAAGGGAGCTACACAGATGCCCCAGTTTAAAAATCAGCAAATCCTCTTCTCCCAGCCAGGATACAGATACCCACCAGAAAGGTAAGTCGCTTTCTCCCCCAGGCTCGAGCTACAGACAAGAGACAAATCAGAACAAATCTTACCCTGCTAGATCAAGAGCGTCTGTCCAGAAATCTTCCATGGACTGTAGAAGTCAAGGGCTGAGACAGAGGGAAGGCAGGAAGGAATGTGTTCGCATGCTCCTGTGTCTCCGCGTGTGATTGAGACAGCAGCGCGTGTGTGGATGTGTTTGTGGATGGAATGGCAGGGACTCTGGAAGAGCCAGTAGGCAGGGCACTTGGCAGCCCCTCCCGGCAGACGCAGCAGCTGGGCTGTTGCTCAGAGCTGGATGAATGGCAGAAGGGGGAGTGAGGGGAGACAACGGCAGAGAGACACAGCTGGAGTGAGCCTTGCTGCGGAGAGGAAACTCCAGCCTTTAGCTTCTACCTGTGGAGCCTGGGGACGGCCGGCCCGGTTCTTTCTCTTGCCTTTCTAGGCAAGAGGGCAACCAGGCTGACTGTAAATCATAGGTTTCCGGCAAAAATAGAATGCCAGTCAAGAGTGGCTGGAGAGAGCAAGTTTGCAAAATGTACCAGGGGTGGATTTTCCTCAAAAAATATAATTTAACAAGAAAAGCCTTCTGGATTACACTTGGATGAAATCTCTTTCAGTTCACCCCCACCCCCACACACACCCAGCCATGCCCCCCAGTCTGAACAGACACACCAAGGCCACACCTCTAGCAGCACAAGGAAGTCTGACTTGGGAATAAATGTTTTGGCAGTCCAGAGATTTGCTTCTTGCTGAAATGTAATACTTCCTTTACCTCATTACCCAAACCTGCAAGCCTTTCCACCAAGAGTTTATGCTTTCTCCAAACAGGTGAATATGTATGTGTGTGTGTGTGTGTGTGTACATATATATATATATATATATATATATATATATATATATATATGTATATATATATATATAAACTGTGTATGCATATATATGTATATTGAGTAAATATACTTATATGTGTATATATACATATATATGTTATAGTGAATATATTATGTACAGTGAATGTGTGTGCATATATATATATGACTGAAATCTTAGACTGTGACAATAAAGGTAGGTACTTTTGCTTTAAACTGGTTGTTGGGGGGGGAGGGGGGAAAGGTCTGTCCTCTCTGTTGGTCCCTGCATGTATTTACCTCGTCCTCACCTCTTCTCTTGACCACGGGCAAACACAGGGTAAAAGGTACTCTTGGGGAGCATGTCCCCTCCCAGCGTCCCTGGATGCATGACACCTATTGGAGCCTTTGTATTAAGTATTAAATGACTAACCACAATGCCAGGACTCGCCACAGGAGCCTATGCAGTTACCAAGAGATTTATGAGCAGCAGTTGAAACTACTACAAAGAATGAAGTAGAAAGTTTGAAACAATGATAATGAGGTCAAAATGCAAATCCGTGGTTTGTGCTTTGAAAGGTTCAAGGTGGTCCCTCAGCCATGACATCCACACTAGGATACATGAATATTAAGAGTTGAAAGAAGGATTTGATTCCCAGTACCACAAAACAACTATATAAATAAGCAAACAAATACACAAAAAATAAACATTGGAGAGAAAAATTGTTGTCCTGGTGACAGTAACTCCTCCAGTAGGCCAACAATGAGCACCCAAAATAAAACAAGATTCAAGAAAGGCAGGATGAAATGAAAGGAGAAAAAAAAGGGAATAGGGATGGGTAAGAGAAGAAATATGAGGGAAGAAGAGAGAAAGAAAGAAAATCTGAAATGTTTACTTTTAACTTAGGAAAGATTAAAAGTCTAGCTATCTGCTCCAAGAGTTTGATCATACAGAGACTTAAGAGCAAAGTTAGTCCAAGATGTCCAATAAAGTTTTCTTATCAACGGCTCTCACCTCTTTGTGGTAAGTTCTATTGTTCGGGCCTGGTGAGCATGGATGCCAATAGTCTTGAGTGCTCCTAGAAGGAGTTTCTTACGTGGACTCCCAGCAGTCCCTGCGTGAATGGCAGGCAGGCCCCAAGCAGCCTCTGCAGGTAACCTTCCGGGCACTCCCACATAAAGAAGGGTGAGTGTATTTCCACCCAGTCCATCTGCAGAACACTGCCAGCAGCCTCCTGCATACTGCTGGCTCGTTGGCTGTGTTTTTCTCCTTCTGTCTCCTCCTGCTGGTCTGTGCACAGCACCTCTGTGTCTTCTGTCGCCTGGATTACCATCTCACCACTTTGTTAGGAGCTGACTTTCCTTGCCCTTCCATACCTGACCAAGAAGCAATTCCTGTGCATTCTAGGTCTCCCTCCTCTTCCTTTCTGTTGCATTTCTAGTCTTTTCTACGTTCTTCATGACGTCCTCCAGACTGACAGCTTCAAAGTCCCTGCTCTGCCTCTTCTCTCTGTGACTTTTTCCGAGATCTTTCCTTCATTGTCACTGCTCCAGAAACCATCTTTTCAGCACCTACTTCTGTCCACCCGCATCCCAGATCCGCCAGCCTTCCCCTCTTCCCATGCCCCTCCTCTCTGTTCTATCACTCTATCATCCACTCTATCATCTGCTCTATCACATCCATTGCTCTATCACTCATATCCCAGATCCGCCAGCCTTCCCCTCTTCCCATGCCCCTCCTTTCTGTTCTATCACCTCCAACACGTAGCACATGCTCCTGTCAAATGAGGACTTGATACTGCAATGAACCCAAAGCTTTTCTTCTCTCTCCTTCTATCTTTCTTCCCTTCTTTCTTTTTTCTTTTGTTGCTTAGAACTTCCAGTTCTCTGGATTGTCAGGGAAATACTGTGTTTCGCAAGGTCTAATCCAAGTGTCACCATGTCCA